GAGGGGCAGGTTTCTATTGACTAGATGATCAATTGATTATTTGAAGAAACAACCATCTGATTACATGTGATCCGTTAGCTGCAGCTAAAAACTATAGAGGCGGGCGGCAAAGCAATGGTTCAGCATCATCAAAGCAGCCAGGAAATAAGCCAACACTCGGTCCATTGTAGTCGACATCTATGGACCATTTCTGCCCGTTTCTGATCCTACGCCCATCTGCCATGCCACTTGATCCCTCTTTACAATCATTATTCCCAACTTTGCCAAGACATACTTTTTTCTTTGCTCCTGATTCACTCCCTCTCTGTGTCAGGCCTTTTTCATTTGCCTCCTTCCTCAAATACAGACCGAAAAGAAAGAGAAGAAAGAGAGAGAGAGAGAGAGAGAGGCAGCGAGTGGAAGGGAGGGGAGAGGAGAATAAGAAGGGGGGAGAGAGAGGGGTGAAGGGGGAGTGATGGAGGGGGGTGCTGGGGTGGGGTTTGCGGAATTTGGTCTATGTTTGGTTTGGAAGGGAAGGCCCCGGCGCTGGGCTCTCAGGAGGATAACGGAAAAGAGAGGGAGAAGAAAGGGAGGTTTATGGATGTGTGTGTACCCTCACAGGTGGTCGGCACATACTGATGGGGTGGGGGGTGGTGGTGGTGGGGGAGGTGGGGGGGGGGTTCTTTTTGTGTGTGTGCATGTCTGTGTGTTTACTGAACTGTGTCGGCATGTTGGCAAAGTTAATGCTATCTGTGCTCAAAGCATGTGTGTACATTTGTCTGTTTATTTGCAGATGTTGGCACAGATGCATGTGAGCTTTTGGCATGTAGGAATCAGAGGAGGAAGACAGAGAGAGGAGGTGAATAAGACATTCCTCAGATGGAGGAGGAGGGGAGGGGGGGGGGGGAGAGATGCAGGGAGCCAGTGGTTAGTTAGTGGTTAGAAACTAAGAGGAGAAAAATGAATGTCTGGTCCAGGGCTGGGCCCAAAAACGATACCACAGCCAGCGAGCGAGCCAGAGGAGAGGAGAGGGGAGGGGAGGGGAGGGGAGAGGAGAGGAGAGGAGAGGAGAGGAGAGGAGAAAATAAAGTCGAAACGAGTTATGTAGAAGAGGAGAACCAGGGGAGGCCTCCTCCTCCTCCACCACCACCACCAGCACCAGCACCAGCACCACCTCCCACCCTCCTCCCATATGAGGCCTGCTAACTCCTGCCTGTGCCGCAGGGGAGAAAGAGGGGGAGTGGAGCTTTTATAGCTGGGCTGAACCCGCTGAACCCATCATGTACAAACAGCAGGGAAAGTAGGGAGACAACAGAGGGCCGAACCCAGCAGCCACACGGGGGGCTTCAGTGGGGGGCGTGGGGTGGGTGGGGTGGGTGGGGGTCCAGGTTGGGAGCACAGGATGGCTGGAGGTACGAGGAGGAAGAAGAGGAAGAGGAGGGTCATCACAGGTCCCCCTCTACTGCCCTTTCAGTTGCATACCAGCAGTTTGGGTTTTCTTTTTCTTTCTTTCTTTCTTTCTTTCTTTCTTTCTTTCTTTCTTTCTTTCTTTCTTTCATTTACTTTACCTTCTTCTTTCTTTGGATACCTCACCTTATTTTATTTTGCCTTCGTTCTCCTTGTTCTCCTCTTTCCTTCTTTCTTTTTCCCTTCCTCCTCCTCTTTTTTCTTCCTGGATTCTGTCCTTCATGCTTTCTTGCTGCCATTGTTTCCTTCACTTTTTTCTTTCTTTTTTGCCAATTTTTCTTTTATCTTTTCCTTATTATCCCATTTGCCATTCTTTTTTTCCTTCACTTCTTTTTCATGTTTCTTGATCACTTCTTTCATATCATATTCAATCCTATCTGCTGTCACTTTTTTTTTAACCATTCCTTGCTTCCTTCATTCCTTTTGCCATTTTTCCTCCTTTACTTTTTTCTTCCACATTCTTCCTCCTTATATTTTACTTTCTCCCAATCTTTGCTTTCTTTCATTTACATTTCTCTTTTTTCTTCTATTATTCTCCCTCTTTACATCGTCTTTGCTTCTCTCCTTCTTCCCATCATTCATTTGTTCTTCTATTGTTTACCTCCTTTGCTTTTTTATTTACTTATACTCCACTTTGTTACTCTCTTTTTTTTCTTCTTCTTCTTTCACTTTTTCAGGCATTTTACGTCTCTACTCCAGAATCCAGATGACAGTCGATTCCAACTGGGGACACTGCAGCTGGGTGTCACTGTAAAAACCTCTCAGTCACCAGGTCGCCGTTCATCCCTACCTCTCTTCCTTCCCCCCTCAACTTTCTTTTTACTTTGTTTTGCCTCTTTTATTTCTTGGACTACCTCTTCTTCACCCATTTCTTTCTTTCTGTAACATTTTTCTTTCGCCTTTTCTTCATTTTTTCACTTTATTCGCACTCTCATTCCACTGTTCTTATTTCCCCCATGCCCTTCAATCATTCTTCCTTTCTTCCTTCCTTCCTTTCTACATACACACTATTCTAACACTCTCTCACATACACACACACACACACACACACACACACACACACACACACACACACACACACTTACTTTCACATACAGTATGCCATATGTATGAGCAGCCTCCCACCCTGCAGCAGACAGTGTGGGTGGAGAGGGGGCTGCTAAGCAGACGCACCCAACAACAACAGGAAAGGAGTTTGCTTGGCTCTGGGCCTTTTCTAAAATCCATCCATGAGCGTCGCTCCAACCTTTAGAGAACAGCATGATGCAACAAGCCTGCAACCTGCACATCACTGCCATCGCATGAAAACCTCATATTCTGAAAAACTCCTCGCCCCGACCACCATGATGCATCACAGAAAAATCAGTAAGGAGTTTAAGTGGTGCTAGTGCGCTCATGGGTGACTCCCCAAAGCCTGCCCTGCCTCTTGGGAACCCGTGGAGTTTAGGTTTAAGTGAAAGCATGAAAATCAGTGCAGCTGGAGTTTCGGAAGTTTTTCTAATGCAGAGGCGTATCATCCTATAGGGAGGATGAGGAGTCATGATTGGTGTCACGGGGGCAGATGACTTGTGGGATGTTATGACCCAAACTGCTGGGAGGAAAACAAGGGAAGCAAAGGTCTTGTCTCCACCCTTCTCCACTTGGTCCACGTGGTCAGAATGGCCATGTCATACTCAAAGGTCCCAGTTTGGATCAGAGCAAGATATACAAACTAAAACACTGTCCATTAATGCCAGATCCTGATACCTGAACAACAAAATAGGTTGTCTGTAAGTGCAAAATATCCCAATATGGGAACTGAACAGCATCTGAAACCACTTCTCCACACACTTTTATTATTTTGCGCCTGAACTTTTTTTTTTTTTTTTTACTTTTCGTTACCTTCAATCCAACAAAAACTATACTCAGCAACTGGCCAGGTGTGCTGAGGTGAGAAAGTACATTAGGCAAGATTTGACCTTTTCTCCCAACCTCTCTTGTACAACTCCTATTACTTTTCTTGTATACAACTGACTACGACACTATAAATGCCTCCGAATGTGCCATTATCCCCATTTTTATGTTTCATTGCATCTCTACCTCTGTAACAACAAGCTTTTCTGTCTTCACACAGACTAGTTTATTTGAAGCAAAATGAAATGTATTTTCTGCTTCATTGTTCATTCTTCATCATATAAATTGTTTTAATCCAAGAACAAATATATAATTCTGTCACTTTGCAGGTGAGGACTATGTACAAGCCATATATATTCCTTCTTGTAATCAACACTGCCAGTATTTCATCATGTCTGCAGATATCTGGTCTTAATGTTTAAGTTTGTGACAAAAATGACTGATTATCAGTTAAAATCAACATAGTGTTTTCACCAAGCAGAAATACATGTTAGGAGAATAACGGAGGGCCCAGGATAGAACCCTGAGGAACTCCATATCTGAGATGAGCTAGAGGAAGAGGAGAATAGAACTAGGGTTGCAAATAACAATTATTTTCATTATCAATGAATCAGTTGCTTATTTTCTCAACCGATTCTTTTGTCCATAAAATGTCAGAGAATAAATTTCCAAAATCCAAGGTGAGGTCTTCAAATGTTTTAGTCCAAAACTGTTGATATTGATAAAAGATTTTTTAGTTTTTTAGTTACTATTACTTTAGTTACTATTATATAAGAAAAACAAAAGCAGCAAATTCTCACATTTTAGAAGCTAGAACGAGCAAATATTTTTTTTTATTTTCAACAATAAACAAAATATCAGAATTATTGCAGATTGACTTTCTTTTAAATGACTAATTAATTAATTAAATAATTGACTTATTTTAGTTTAAATGTAACACAACTGATTTACATGAGAATAATTCTATACATGCAATCATCTTCTACACACACAGAGGGGCAATATCATATCAGGAGTTATCTGTTAACTGAAGTTATCTACAGTTACAGTTTTGTCTTTGCAGCAGGTTTATAAGTAGAATTACAGAGGGCCAAGGAAAGACACTTGGGGAACACCAAATATTGAAAAGATTTACACTACTATTGCATTTTAATTTTGTGGAAAAATAACTCTTTTGTCAACTTGTGCCCACCATTGACACTAGGATATGTTCAAAAGTAAAGGTACATCAAGCATTCATTATTTTTTAGTGGTTGTGGACCTAAACACTTGCACACAGATTCACTCAGATTACAGCTTTTTCTACAATTCACCAATGCACACGCATACACAACATACACCATGTAGCATAAAACTACATATTCAAAACAGTCTGACACCTTTTGGACCCCATCTCCAACAGACTTGTATATGAAAATGTAAATTCCTATAGCATTTGTAATAGGATTTTATATAAAGGTTAAAATTATTAAGTCCCCACTGTAAATTCTAACATGGCCTGGTGATGTCATAGTAGATGTAAGAAAACTGAGAGCAACGTCAAACTCATGCCTGAGCAGCACCGACACATTAGGAACAGTAATATGAGTAGCAATAGAGGAACATAAAGGACTGATAGGATAAAGAGGACAAGCCAGCGGTTGAGTCTCGTTAGCATTTACCGTATAACAGCCTGTAGACAGTCAAACAGCCTCCTCTGCTCCCTGTAGTCTGCCTGAAGATGCTTTCGAGCCTCCAATAAACACAACTGAGGACACAGTTTACCAAAAATCAAGCGAGTTTGTCCGGCGTTTCCCGTACCATCTTCGATAAAATCATCAATTGACACCGGCTGGTTTCAAAATAAAAGAAATCGGTACAGTGAAAGCAAATCCTCCCACAGGGGATCGTTCAAGAGGGGGAAAAAATGCCTGTTTCGAGAGGTCAGTTTTCAGATCGAAAACCTTGTCCTGTGAATAGTTTTCTCTCAAAATGAAACTGACGTAAGCTAAAAAAAAAAAATTACTACTGAGGGGGTGGGGGGGGAACTAAATGTCAGTCGCACGTGAGGGTGTAGGCTGCGATGTGAATGTCAAACCCGCCGCACAAAGGTAGAGGTTCTCCTGGAGGCGCATCGCTCGGTTGCGACGCTGGTCAACTGAGCTGCCGGAGCGGCGGAGAGGAGGGAAGAGGCTGTCTGAGTGGGAGTGAGAGAGAGGGGTGGGGGGGTGGAGAGACACTGGGAGAGAATGAGCGAGAGAGAGAGAGAGAGGTGGAGAGACACTGGGAAAGTGGAAGAGAGAGAGAGAGAGAGAGAAATGCCAGAATAGAGATCCAACCTCCAGCTGTTGACTCTCACGATAGTCTGAACTTGTGTGTGTGTGTGTGTGTGTGTGTGTGTGTGTGTGTGTGTGTGTGTGTGTGTGTGTGTGTGTGTGTGTGTGTGTGTGTGTGTGTTTGTGTGTGTGTGTTTAAAGTTTAAAGAGTACAGTAGGTTCACATTTTTTCAAGTCTGCCTTGGACAATATACTCACACACTCCCTATGCCCTAAAGAGTTATGAGTTACAGAGTTATGAGTTGTAATAAAAAAAGAAAAAACTCCAATTACTACCTCTAAATGCATTTAAAAGTTCTGCTGAAGTAGCTAAAACATCAAGCTTCAACGTCAAGTGTGTATCTTTTTTAGTTACAACCCTTTTAAGATCTTTAAAACGTGAGTATTGCTTTAAGACAGACTTGAAAAAATGTGAAAAACTCCCACACAGGTGTTTTCACTTACTCTGGCTGATTAGCCAACAGGTGGAGGTTTGGTGGAGCAATGCTGGGAATTATGTGAGGTTATCAGTACTCAGACCTTTTACTTAAGTCATATAACAAAGTAAAAACATTCCAGTCCTGCATTCAAAACTCTACATGAAGTATTATCGGCTAAACGTAAAAGTACTTGGTCCCTGTGACTCATATATTACCAGACTGTTAATGCATTAATTTGTAAGCATTTTAATGGTGTAGCTAGTTTATCAACTGTATATTTACTTAGTAGTTAGTTGAGTCCAGTGGCTTCGAGGGTCAGGTCTGTCAAAAGGCTAATAAGATAAATGTGAGAGGTCCTGGGATGGGATAAGGGAGCAGAAAAAAGTCTTTGCTTTTTTTGTGTGAAATATTGGATCTCATTGGGTCTCAAATTGTTATGTAAGTCATGTAAAAAGTTTAGAGGGTAAATCTCTCCTTGGTGGAGCTGCTAACAACTCACTGTCGCAATATTTTCTACAATGATCATTGAATAGACTTCAAATTGTAAGTTCCCACATAAAACCACTAGATGGAGACAATGAACATCATTAGACAGCAGCAGGACTAAACGTAAGGGGTTCAGTGCAATCAGAGGTATACATTAGGTATAAACATTATGTTTAAAAAAAGAGAATTATCAGCAGTGAAAACTCCACCACACCACCAATCTTTGTTTTTGTTTGTTTTTTTTATTTAATTTATTTTTCACACCAAAACTTACAAATTATTTACTTATGCACTCACTTGCAATGACTTTAAAATGCATACGTTTAACACATAATACTCAAAGGGGTCTGAATACCTTCTGAATGTATAGTTCAAAAGCAAATATAAGGGTAACCATACAGGACTATTAAAAGCTCGAGTTTCCTCTTCACAGGTTTAGCTCTGATCGAAAAACAAAACCACAAACACTTCTATTGCTGACAGCCGTATAGCTCATGCTGCAACACCTGAACTTTAACACATCTCTGAGGAACAAACACTGCTGTCCAAGACTACATATTGCAACACAATACACAATGTACATGTGTATAAAAAAGTATCACAATAAATAGCCTCATTACCAAAAACAATAATGACATCAAGAGGAAGGAAGTGAGGTTTAGAGCTGCATGTCGTTTGTTCACCTCCACTGATCCACTGTCCATTCTGTTTTGTTTGTTCCAAGTAAACTCATGTCGATTTTGACCAAAAGTTTTTTGGAATAATAAGTTAATACAATCTGTGTTCTGATTAGAAGCTGAGTGACTACAACAGCCATGTTGCTGACTGGAATTAGACGTACGTTCGTGGTTTTCGTCCTGTACATCTCAGGTATGGATGTCTGTTCATTTTATATCAATTATATATTACTATTAATAGTAAATTGTAAGCAGATATACGGTTTATGTGATACATGAGAAGTAAAGGTCTACTGTAAAATCTAAACAAAAGAACAAACAGAGAAAATTATCATATTTTGTGAAAAAATTACAGTACTTTTTTTTTTTTTAAAAAGCTGTGGAAATAAACTTATAAAACTATTTATATATAATTGTTTCTGTAGTCATTTATATAGAAAGACTCGTATTTATCCAAATGTTTTGTGATGAAAGCTTCTGCCAAAGGAATTTGGGGACAAGAAAGCAGAATCTGTGCTTTAAAAGGTTCATCAGTGAATCTACCCTGCTCATCAGAACATCCCACTTCCAGCATGAACTGGTACACTGCACACTTGGATGAATATGAAATTGTTCAGAATAAGCTCTCGCCAGATGGAAATCGTGTGACATACAACATGTCGGAGGAGAGTAACTTCACTCTGACGATCAGTGATCTGAGAGAGAGTGATGAACATGTTTACTGCTGCAGAGAGCACACAGACAAACCAGAGCGCTGCTGGTCCGGTGGAACGAAGCTCCAAGTTGCAGGTACGCTGTCTGTCAGTTACTCATTATAGCTCACAAGTAACATTAGGATATGAACATTAACCATATATACTGTCATCTCAGACCTGCAGGTAAAGGTGATTCCTGCCACAGAGGAAACGTCAGTGACACTGATGTGTAGCACCAGCTGTCCTCTGACTGAAAACCCTGCAGCCTACATCTGGTACAAGAACAGAAAGCTTCTCTATCAGGACTGGTCTCCCTGGTACCAAGAACTGGTCAGCAGCGAGGAAACAGTCAGATACTCCTGTGCTATCAAAGGCTACGAGGAACACAGAGCCCCTGAAGTCTCTGTGGGTGAGTCACAACATTTAGCTCCTCATCAAATTACAAAATGTTTGGCTGAACTTCTGAAAACTGTGACCATGTTCACCAATAAAAATACTGAATCTCATTGTGTTTGTCCAGATTCGGTCACGTCCACCTGCTTCAGCGTGACTTATGCCAAAGGGAGAATGTGTTCTTATCAGCAGAAATCAGAGGATGAGCCCTGCTCCATCACATATCCCAGAGGTGAAGTTTCCTACACACTCCACAAACACACCTCCAGTAGCCCCTCCCCCCCCTACTGCTTCTGACAATGTAATCGTTCAAAACTGTCAATCAAGCATGCCAACTTCATGCAGCAGTTGGCCAAGTACATGGATGAGATAATTACTACTCCCAACAAAAGTCACACCTTGGCTCTGTTCAGACATGGCATCAACATGTGTCTTCAGTCATCCAATCACAAGTTGTCAGCTCTAAGTACGTCAGTTCACACTTGGCTTTAAAATACATCTACACATGCGTCTAGAGTGACCACATGTGATCGGATCTCACTTCCCTGCCAGTGTCAATGTGTTTGTGATAGAGAGAGAGAGAGAGAGAGAGCAGGAAAAGGAGGGGTTGATCAAATCAATGTCCTGTGCACAGCTCTACAGTGAAATGAAGTTTTAGCCATTTGAAATAGTTAAATATTTTCAAGTCATTATGAAACTGTGGCGGGACTAAGACTGGGGCAGAGGATGTCAGTAGAGTAGGCGGTCCTTCAATGTGGCCCAGGAACGCATCACACTACTGAGAGGATGTGGCCACGTGTGGCCCAGACCACCTCCGAATGGAGTCTGAGTGATCAGATCTCAAATGCTTCCTCAGTTGTGTCTTGGGTGTGTTCACACTTGTACTCAGAGCCGTTCGCTTCTGATCCGATCACCCGAGACAGATCTACAAGACACCGGGAAGCTAGATTATTATTATTATTATTATTATTATTATTATTGTTGTTGTTGTTCACATTGTTCTATCTTTGCTTTATTAAAAACAATGAAAAAAAAGATTTTTCCTCAATTCCCATTACACTTACACACATTCTGCATTTTGTGCCCATCATCTCTCCACAGAAGTACGTGTTCAAATGCAGAGAGCAGCAGAGGGATATGTTGTACTGCAGTGTACCACCAGCTGTCCCCTGTCTGACCCTCAAACTGCCTATAGGTGGTACCAAGGTGGAAACACACTCATACACTCTGAGAGTCAACTACTTACAGTTTCCCGCTTTTATGATAAAAGATTATCCTGTGCTGTAAAAGGCCATGAAGATCTGCTCTCCGCCGCCGTCTGTGAGTATGGACTTATGGTCTGTTACAACTAACAAATTCTGACATTTTCATTTCTGTTCATACCGTATTCCTAATTAAGTTTGTTTATTAAACACAGTCTGTTATGTTACAGTTACACATGGATTAAACAGTGGAAAATTTAAAAAAATATTTTATTGTGGAAGTTAAATGAATATTTATCCGTTCTGCCACAATCACTCAGTTCATGGTCGTTGTTGTCAGTTAATAATCAGATTCAAGCATTGACCGTAATCATCTACTTCTGAGTTCCTCCTCTGTCTTTCAGGTGTTGAGGATAAGAGCTGCTGGAGTGTGAGTTACGTCAGCAGGAGGATCTGTGCTCTGCAGGGCTCCTCGGTGAACATCTCAAGTCAGTACTCGTACCTCCGCAACCAGCAGCCTACGTTTAAATATTGGTTTAAACTCAAGGAAAGTGGTGAGGAGGACGCTCAAAACGGGATTGAGGCTGGAGGTCATGTGGTGTATCATGACAGCATGAAGAATAACCACATCATGAGTATTAAAGAGCTGAGGAAGAGGGACTCAGCAGAATACACACTGAGACTCCGAGCAGGTCATGGAGGACAGAAACGGCTTGATGCACCTGGAGTGACTTTGGTTGTCACAGGTAATTTGCTCGTCCAAAACATGTTGCACCTAAGGTTTTGTCAAAATCTGACCAATTATCTAAGAGATGTCTTTTTTTTTTTTTTTTTTTTATATTTTTTATCTTAATAGTTAAATTATGGCTCACCTTCAGAGCCATGTCTTTCAGGATGGGTCTCAAGATGTCAGTCTGTCAGTCAGTT